CTTTGACGATCTGGGAGGCACACAAATGCGCCATCCGGGGACACCTAATCAAAGTGTGCACGAGAAGAAAGAAAGAGCAGCAAAGACGCACGGATGAACTGCTGGATCGGATAGCGGCCCTTGAGGGTCTTCATAAAGCCACACAATCGGATGATAGTTACAAAGAGTTGTTGGAGAACAGGAAGCAGTTGCGCGATATCTTGAACCAAAAGCTGCAGTATACAATCCGAAAATCCCAACGCTTCTTCTACGAATACTCGGGTAAATGCGGGCGGCTACTGGCTAGGACTCTACAAAAACAACGGAGGATGTGTTACATCACTAAAATCAAGCCCAAGGACCAGCAGGTGACACAACTGCCGGAGAAAATCACAGAGGCATTCAGGGAGTTCTATGAAGACCTCTACAACCTCCCTACGGAACAGTCTGAAGGGGCAGGACTTCGCAAAGACAGACGGATCTCAGACTACCTTCAACAACACATCACTAACTCACTAAGCCGAGAGGCGGCTGAGGAACTGGAGGCCGCTATAACACTGGAGGAATTACAAATTACACTGAAAGGCTCGAAACTGAACAAAGCGCCTGGCCCAGACGGTTTGCCAGTGCGATACCTGAAGGAGTTCAGCAATGTGCTCCTACCACGGCTACTACTAGGTCTCAACTCGATACTGGATGGAGGAACATTTCCGAGAGACTCCCTGCTGGCAACAATAACAGTTATTCCTAAAGAGGGCAAGGACCCGGCCATCTGCGCAAGCTACAGGCCGATCTCGCTATTGAACGCAGATCTGAAGCTGTTCACGAAGGTAATAGCAACACGCATAGGAAATGTACTGCCGGAACTGGTGCACCCTGACCAAGTTGGTTTTGTCCCGGGACGGGAGGCGAGGGATAACACCACGCGCGCACTGAACGTCATCCATGCGGCGAAACAAGCGACACAGAAAATCCTTCTCCTGTCCACGGATGCAGAGAAGGCTTTTGACCGCGTGGACTGGCGATTTCTGGCAGCAATGCTACGAGCCATGGGATTTGGCCCCCGTCTGATGTCATGGATCACATCCCTGTACACTACGCCTACAGCTAGAGTCCGAATTAACGGAGCACTCTCCGCACCGGTACACATCCGCAATGGTACCCGACAGGGGTGCCCTCTCTCCCCCCTCCTGTTTGCCCTCTCCCTAGAACCATTCCTGGGGGCGGTCAGGCGGGACGGGGGAATAGAGGGCTTCGTCCTGCGGGGGGAGGTACACAAGGTGGCCGCATACGCGGATGACATGCTATTTTTCATCGGCAATCCGCTTGTCTCACTCCCGAATCTTCTGAAGGCCTTCAAGGACTATGGTCAGTTATCGAACCTTAAGTTGAATATGGACAAATCGGAAGCACTCCCCATAACTCTGAGCGCGGACTCCATCGCCCACCTGCAAACACAGTTCACTTTCACATGGTGCCAAACCAGGCTTAAATACCTGGGGATTTGGCTCCCCACAGATCTCTCCCAGCTTTATGACTACAACTTCGCCCCAATGGCTCAAACCCTGAAAAACGATCTAGCTCGATGGGCGGGCCTGTGTATTACGTGGTTTGGGAGGTTAAACGCAATTAAAATGAATCTCCTCCCCCGCCTCCTATATCTGTTCCAAACCATCCCGATCAACCTCCCGGCATCCTTTTTCCACGAAATTGACAAGACAATATCTAGGTTCGTTTGGCAAGCTAAAGCACCAAGGCTGGGCAAAGTACACCTTCGCAGGCCAAAAGCACAAGGCGGGGTGGGGCTCCCATCCATACGGGACTACCATAGAGCTACACACCTGCACCGTATTGTCGACTGGCATACCCCCAGAGATGGGAAGTCATGGATAACCATGGAGACTACACAAATGGAGGGATCGCTCCCGGCAGTGGTATGGCTAGACAACCACCACGGTGTTCAACGAGCCAGGAACCACCCGCTCATCGGAGCAACGTTGAAGGTTTGGTATTCTGTGCGGACTAAGCTCTCACTAACCACCACACCAGGACCATTGACACCGATAACACACAACCCCGATGTGGCCGGGGGCCTCAAGCCCCAAGACATCAGTGCATTCACAGAAGACAAATGGTCATATATACAACAATGGTGCTCAGCGGACTCGCTGAAACCACTGCCGGAACTCATACGAGAAGGAGCCCCACGAGGCATAGACAGATTCAGATACTTCCAGATTAAATCATATTATCAATCGCATGCTGGACGCCGCCTGTTCCACAGGACTATGACTGAGTTTGAGAAAACATGCACAGCCGGGAGACCGCTACACCGAGGAGTATCTACCATGTACGCTCTGCTACAAACCTCTACCCAACATACACCCCTGAAACACCTGGCGAGATGGGAGGGGGCCACGGGTACGGTACTCACCGACCCCCAATGGGACAAGATCCACATACTGACACATCAGGGCAGATTGAGTTCTAAACACCAAGAACTGAACTACAAACTGCTAACGGGGTGGTATAGAACGCCAGAGCGCCTACATCGAATGCTACCGGAAATCCCGGACTTATGCTGGAGATGTGAGTCAGAGGTTGGCTCGGACCTCCATATTTGGTGGTCCTGCAGACACATCGCCCCATTCTGGAAACAAATTCACACGCAGATAAAAAACATTGTGGACTCAGACCTCCCTTTCCAGCCAATGCAAATGCTCCTCCATCACACTGACATGCCTCTCTCGAGGTATAAAAAATCACTCACGAAACAACTCCTCAATGCAGCTAAATTGCTTATCCCGATCCGTTGGCGGTCCACGCAAATCCCCACACTGCAACAATGGATGGAGAAAGTAGAGGAGATCCATGGCATGGAACAGCTTACAGCCTCATTGCGGGGAACAACGGAACGCTATCTACAGACCTGGACTCCCTGGCTCGAATTTATCTCGGGCAGAACGGCGTAGACACCAGGAATATGGAGCTTCGGCATGACCCCCACAGGAGTCACAAGTAAATACACATAGTGACGTGGCAGCGACTCCCAGAGGAGCGGCGGACACACTCTTGGCAGAGGAGACTCTGAAGAGGACGGGATGTGCCGACACAGCGAGCACGATGCCGAGGAGGTCTCTCTTTCCCCCCCCCCACCCTTTAACCCTCTCCCACTTTCCCATCCCACGCTCTATCTCACACCCGGGCCACACAGGGAACAGATACAAGCACACGTACGCCCCCCTTCATCTTTCCCCTGCCCCCCACACACACAAATACACATCTATATCTAGACACAAACCACCCGGGAAACAACTCCCGACAGTTCATTAGACGACGAATCAGGGAGTGAGCGAGGCGGGGGTAAAATCCTAGTCAGACAAGCAGAGGCAACAGAGCTGCGACAAAGAGGCATAATGGATCACAGGACACTGTGACCCAGCTAACTGAACACTGACGCACCAGACCTGGGAAAGGCGGCCACCTAACGCACCTCAAAGGCCCAGACTAAGTGAGCGAAAAACATTGCTGTTCCGGATCCCCATAAAACACGAAGTAGGACACGCACAAACAGAGATGGGGGACGTCTCACGAGGACCCCAACCTTAGGGTAACCACTGGCTACTGCCCTAACAGATTCGAACACATAGGTAGAGACCTACCGACCTCTACCCGCTTCACGGCGCGTAGTTAGACAAGAAGCAAGGACAAGCAGCTATAAGCTGAATAACAGGTGGGACGGGAGGGCTAGGTTGGGGAAGCGTAAACAGAAAAGGGTGGACAGCCCACACTAGCCTTCAGCACTAAGGTGCAAGCGTAGTGAGACAAACGAGGGTGGCCGCGGAGACGACCCAGGTCCGCCAGTCCTTCCAAGGTACTGATATCCCTACACGAATGCATAATAGAAAGGACTTGTTTGCATGTTTTACTGTTGAATCGCACTGCCTGTCTAGTGCAGACTGTTATGTTTATCGAGACATCCTCGAACACTTTAACATTTTAACTTCCTGTTTAATCTGCTAACAGCACTGTTGTCAATGTTACTTTTCAAACTGGAAATAAAAACCAAGATTGACAAAAAAAAAAGAAAATCACAAATTCTTTTTTCTTTCTGTTTTAGTATTTTTTGGTTGCATCTGTCTGTCTTTTATCCTCCTGTACTTCCCATCCTCCATGCTTCTTTTTCTTTTGCTTGGGGGTCTTTGGAGGAGTGGTTTGTGCTTTTCCCTTGGTTTTAAGTTCCAAAAATCCTCCTCTCTTGGGGTCCTGTGAGTGTTTAAACGTATTCTGTAATTGCCTAATAAAATGTTTGATTGATTTGTTTCTCAATCTGCTCTGGTCAGTGAGGAACTCATCAGGCTCTTTTTTTTAGCCGTGGTTTAGCCGGGGTTCTTTTATCATGAAATCTGTGGTGCGATTTTAGGAGTATACTTGTTTGTTGTTGGAAGTCCTCCCTTCTTTTTTAATGATTGTCACCTGAATAATACATGGTGGTCTTTTTCCCCCCATTTCTTTAATATGTGTAGAATGTGATTTTTTTTTCTTAAATTGGAAACCTTCTTAATCAGGTGCCCCTAAACCTAAACCTAGCTGCAACATTTAAATTGGGGCAATTATGAATGGTGTTGTAATGACACTCTAGAAGGCTCAACAATTTTACCCCTGTTTCCTAATATTTTCACCTAAATTTAGTCAGTTTTCAACTTAAAGCTTTGGAATACCCATTTGCGGATCAGTACAGTTAAATAGTCCTGATGTACATTCAAATATCACATACAAGTAAAACAATAATGTGCAAAAATAATTTACCAGCAAGAAAATAATATTTATTTTGTAAAGTGTGTTCAAGACTGAGCTTCCGTTTTCCCAATCACTTTATTACAGCAGGTCACTTCTGTACAAATCTATTTTTCCTGAAAATGGAATTCATGGACCAGGGGTATTCAAATATTTAAGCTTAAGGGGACACTCCAAACCCCTAAAGACCTTTAGATTGCTTAAATGCTTTAAGTGGGAAGTGGGAAGTGAAGAGTGTGCCATCTTTTTCACTTTACAAAAAGTGAAAGGTTCAATATAAATTGGCACTATTATAAATTAACCTTGTTACACCCCATGACTGTCAGTAAGAAAATCAGTCATGTTACTTCCTGGTTCCAGGAACCAATTGCCTAGAGATCTTGTCTTCTAAAGACTTCTCATTGAGCTGCATTAGCAAGTTTGTGATTGGACAGACACAGAAAGTCTGGGTGTGGTTAGAAGGGGAGGGTTTGCAAAAGGTTCAGACAAAAGATCTGCTAATTGTGCAAGCTGTTTTTAAATATATCTACTAAACAGTGTTTATTTTCTTACATTTTGGCAGTGGAGTGTCTTTTTAAGTTTAATAAAATATAACTTTCGAAACAGTTGCCAAGCCCGAAACCAAACCAAAGATAATATGAGTTTTATTTACAAGTAACACATTCATATTTACCAAGTAACACATTCTATCTGAACATTCCTGCTAAACAAATCATAAGAGATTCAATAGAAGGTTTCATGTAATTGTAACAGCTTGGACACCTGATCCAATTGTACCATGTTTTTTTTTTAATGTGCTCATGTAAACGGCTGCTAAATCCATGTGCAGGATTTCTATTCTTGCTTTCTTCACATTCATATAACTGGAGCGAGAGCACTGTTAAGGTTGGTATTTGTGATAAAAAAAAGGTAGTCTAGTTAGGTACTCCAACTTATGTTTCTTTTATCTGAAAAGAAAGACACAAACACTACATTAGGTTAGGTGTAAAAATATGATCGCGCCAGTAGTTTAGTGTGATTGAATTTTAATAGATACTTTGAGGTGCCAGTAATACTTTAAAGAATAGCTAGACAAATGCCCTGCAATTATGTTAATAATATAAATTCATTCCCAAACACAGAGCACGCAGACTTGCACAGTAAGATTTTAGGAAGGATTAGCTCACAGATAGTTAAGAATGCCAACTGTTTGTTTTTTCACATTACTTTCTTTTTGTTTGTTTTAACCCCTTAAGGACGCAGCTTCAGAAGCTGGACATACCCTTAAGGACTCAAGCTATTTTTGCATTTTTTGCTGTTTGTGTTCAACTGCAATTTGCATCGCTCTCATTTATTGAATCAACACATATTATATATCGTTTTTTAAAGGACAAGATGGGCTTTATTTTGATGTGACTTATACATATATAAAATCTAATTTATTATTAAAAAACATTAAAAAAAGAAAAAAAAAGAAAAAATATATATATTTTTCACAGTTTTGGCAATAATAGTGTGTGTATAATATGTCCAGCTTAGGAAAAGTAATTCAAAATAAATTCATTTAGGTTTCTTGTTTTTCAAAGTGCATAATATGTAAAGGATTTCAGCTTATTTTAAAAGTTACAGGTCACAAAATACAAGGAGTAATATAAAATTTAAATGTGAAAAAAATTTAGAAGTTGGTATGTTTGACTTGTAAGTTTGACAGCTGTCACAGAAAACAAAATTGCTACACAAAAGTATATATTTAAATAAAGAAGACATCACAGGCTATTTATTTAAGGGTATTTTGACACTTTTTACATAGCCTTTTTCCCACCAATCTCTGCTACATATTGTAGTAAAATTGTGTTTTTTCTGTTTTTTGAAATACACACATGTAACAAGGTTTTTTAAATGTGTATTTTGTAAAGCTGCTGTGTGCTATTCCTGGTCAAAATCCCATTTTGTGTTCAGCAACATCTGCTGAGTACAACAATACCCCCATTGTGTGTCTTTGCCACTATTTTGGGAAGCTACAATGAAATATAAGAGGCCAGACTATTTCAGTTTCTACAGTTAGAAAATTCAAAGATGGATTTAATGGACCTATGTCTTATTTTGGGGCATTATAGTAGTTTGGTTGTTCAAATGACCACACAAAGGCCTTCCATTCGTGAAAGTAGACACTCCATGGTATCTCATATGGCATATATTTTGCCTTAACGGTTCACCATTTATTCACCATTATATGTGAAAATTTGTGTTAAAAAATATTTTCCGCATTTTTTCCTTAAGCATTACATTTGTGCTGGGCATTTTGTATATTTGATATGTTCCACTATGATCAAACACCCCTAATTATGCTCAGCTTAAACTTCTGAGTAAAACAATAACCCCAATGTATGTCTTTGACACTATTTGGTGACGCTACAGTGCCATAAAGGAGACCTGAACATTTCAGTTTTTAGAGTAGAATTTTCAGAGACGAATTTGCAGGGCTTATGTTTCAATTTGGGCCATTATAGCAGTTTGACTGTTTCAATAACCGCAAAAAGGCCTACCATTTGTAAAAGTAGACACTCCAGGGTATCTCATGTGGCATATATTGTGCCTTAACATGTCGTCATTTTTTCGCCATTATATGTCAAAGTTTGTGGTAAAAAAATATTTTTTGCAGTTTTTCCTTAAGCATTACATTTGTGCTGGGCATTTTTTATATTTGATATGTTCCACTATGATCAAACACCCCTAATTATGCTCAGCTAAGTCTTCTGAGTAAAACAATACCCCCAATGTATGTCTTTGACACTATTTGGTGATGCTACAGTGCCATGAAGGAGACCTGACCATTTCAGTTTTTAGAGTAGAATTTTGAGAGACGGATTTGCAGGTTTTATGTTTCAATTTGGGCCATTATAGCAGTTTGACTGTTTCAAAAACCGCAAAAAGGCCTACCATTTGTGAAAGTAGACATTCCAGAGTATCTCACATGGCATATATTGTGCCTTAACATGTTGCCATTTTTTCACCATGATATGTCAAAGGCCTACCATTTTTTAAAGTAGACACCCCAGGGTATTTCAAAAGGCCCATTTTGAACCTTAGGGTGGAATCATTTTTTCGCTAGTGAGTACCAAGTCTAGTAGTAGTAAGCATTTTCTCTGCCTTTTTGACACACACACTGAGATTTTACTGCATAGTTTACAATCCTTAGGTGTGCTACAGCAGTATAACGCTTCATATGTCACTCAGCTATGTCGTCTGAGTACAGCAATACCCCTGTGTGTACCTTTCCCAGGTATATGTGGATGTTGGAGGGGCAAATTTGAGACTCGGCAATTTCAGGTCTGTTTCAAACTTTGAATTTTTACGCCGGGTCCATGTCCCATTTTGGGGCATTTGACAGGTTGAGAATTCAAACTTCCCCCACAAAGGCCTACCATTTTTTTTTTTTATAAATCTTTATTTTTGCAGTGCTTAGGTTTAACACACACACTTGTATTGCCACGACAGCAAGTACAAGTCGCTGAAACAATACATATTGAACAGTATCATGGCAATTATTAACAGCACTTTTTTTTTTTTTGCAAAGCTTAGTAAACAGTATGGTGAAGACATAGTTAACTAGCAGATAATACATTCTGCAATGGCATTCAGCGAGATCATTCGGCTGTAGTATGATAGATAAGCCTATGTTCAGTATGTGAAATAGATATAACACAGGAAAGCCCTTAAACAGCACTTTTTTTTTCTTTTCTTTGTGTAAAGCTTAATAAACAGTATGGTGAAGACATAGTTAACTAACCGTTAATACACTCTAAAATGGCATTCTGCAAGATCATACAGCTGTTGTCTGACTGATAAGCCCATGTTTAGCATTTGAAACAAAGATAACACAGGAAGGTCCTATGAAGCGTTAATCTGATAAGTGAAGAATGGGGATGCAAAGAATCTAGACTTATACCAGGGAGAGACAGTGTGATTTATGAGAAGAGCGACAGCAGGGCATGGAAAATAAAGGCATAGGGCATATGCTGAGTAGATGCTAGTTTACGCTGCACATTCAGGATTAATTGTCTGCTGGATCTCCGCTCTGTATCCTGCCATTGCTCGTGAGTTGTGCTTGCCTAACCCCTGCACCTCTCTGTGCGAGCTGTGTGTTGGGTGTCCAGCTGGGTGTGTAGCTGACAGAGAGCAAGCCAGGGGAGGACAGTCCCTATTTGATGCGATGGAAACATGCTTGTGTGAGTGTGTGCCAGCAGGCAACAGGTGGGACCTCTGTGTGGGTTCTGTGTGGGGTCGTTCCTAAATTGAACTGTGTGATAATCTGTGAGCAGGGTTGCTATATGCTGGGCTCCACTGTGTGCTCACCGTAGAAATCACACTGTCTCTCATGTTCCTCTGCAACGTGCTGCTGGGCAGGTTATGTAGCAGGGCTTGCTGAGTCCTCCAATCTTGTGGCTCACCCGCCTCCAACCCGATGTTGTGAGCGGAGGCTTGATGGGGGGGCTGGTCCGGTGTACTCCACACTGCCAGCCCTGGGCTCTGCTTGAGCGACCGCTTGTGCTCTCGGTTCCGGTTCCACTTCTGGCCGGTAACGGGCTGCCTGGCTGATGGAGTGTGCTTGGGCTTAGGGCTGCGGTTCGAGGAATGTCCTCTAGGGGCTCAAGGCCCAGGAAGGCTGCTGCGGAGACCGGATCCAGGTTCCGGGTATGTGAGCCGGGTAAGCCAGGAGTTTGCAGCAGTGTGTGGCAGGGCACTGTTGTTGCGTTCCCATGTTGCGAGATGACAGGGCTCAGTGTATCTTGTTGCCCGCCAGCGGTTTGTTCACTTGCGTCTGGCTGGGGCTCTCAGGTTACCGTCCGCGCACATGGCACCCGCCATTTTAGGTGTGGCAGTCGGGCTCCCCGGCCTCAGTTGCAGTGTCGCGGTCAGGGCCACAGGGTGAGGACCGGGATCACCCCCCCGGCCTAGAGGGGGGGGAACGGAGCCGGATCCGTGCTGGTCTGTACCCGTGGCTGGGTTCCGTGGCGCAGGATAGTGGGGCAGCGGCCGTCCGCCCCACTCACCGCAGGAGAAGGCCCCGGTTGGGGCAATGTGTTTTTCTCCCCTAGGGGACTGAAGCTCGGTGAGCCAGCCTCTCCCCAGGTCCAGCAGTCTCACAGCTCTGGGTATCTGCTCTGGCGGTCTGATTTTAGGTGGTGAGGCATGATTTTAGAGAGTAAATTTTGTTTAATTGCAGGAGCTGCTCAGGCTTGCGACCGTCCAGCTCGGCGGTCCGGCCCCGCCCCCCAGGCCTACCATTTTTTAAAGAAGACACCCCAGGGTATTTCAAAAGGCCCATTTTGAACCTTAGGGTGGGATCATTTTTTCGCTAGTGAGTACCAAGTCTAGTAGTAGTAAGCATTTTCTCTGCCTTTTTGACACATACTTTGAGATTTTACTGCATAGTTTACAATCCTTAGGTGTGCTACGGCAGTGTAACGCTTCATATGTCACTCAGCTATGTCGTCTGAGTACAGCAATACCCCTGTGTGTACCTTTCCCAGGTATATGTGGATGTTGGAGGGGCAAATTTGAGACTCGGCAATTTCAGGTCTGTTTCAAACTTTAAATTTGCATGCTGGGTCCATGTCCCATTTTGGGTCAAACTCTGAGGCACTGTCTGTCACCTCTGAATCCGCTGTCAGA